CCTTGCATGTGTCCCCACATGGCAGAAGGGGCAGATAGGCTCCCTCAAGGCTCTTTTATGAAAGTACTAATCCCATTCATGAGGGCAGAACCTTAATAACCTAATTACCTCCTAAAGGCCCCACTTCTTAATACTATCTATCACATCAGGGATTAGGTCTCAGCATATTAATTTTGGGAGACACATTCAGACCATAGCATCTACCCTTCTCATTTTCCTATACAGGAAAAAAATCATTGTTAGTGGCCACATAGTGTTCTATACTATGGCTGTTGCATCATCAATTTAACCAAGTCCCTGTCATTGAATATTTAGGTAGTCTTCAATTGCTTGTTATTTTAAGAAAGCTATGGTGCATACCTTTGCTTGATTCTTCCTGCCAGCCATGCCTGAGAAGGGTGATGTGACTCTGGCCTTGCTCAGCTTTCCGGGTGCTTGGGCCCCCAAGGGAGTGTGTTACATTGAGATGGGCCCCAGGACGGGAGACAGAAACCTGAGTTCCAGTCATGCTTCTTCTCCATCTCCAGGTGATGCTGGGGACTGCCCTTCTCTGGTCGGTCCTTTGCTTCCTGTCTGTTAAAGGGGAGCTTTAGAGGGAGGGAGCTCAGAGTGTCTCTTCTGCTCTAAGGCTCAATGATTCTCAGATTTTCCCCCACGAAGCTGTGGATTCCTCTAGCTCCATCGTGGCCTTCTTCAGAGCTGTGTGTGTGCACACACGCTCCAGCGTGTGTTTCAATTTCTATTCTTAGCAGTGTGATCTTTAAACAAGGAATAGATTTGTGCTTCTGTCTCATCTCAGATGCACGCAGCTCCTGCTGGGCTGTTTCATTCTCCACCAGCCATTCATTCACATTAAAAGCAATGGCCCATTAAGGAAATAAGTGGATGATGCTACTCCATCACTGGTGGTAATAAAGATTGCAGGCTCTCTGATCTGGGAGCATCGCTTTGGTCACCAGGCCTCAGCTCTGTCTGACTCAGCTGTAGATGAGGTCAGGGGAATCTTGGTTTTAGCGCCTCCCTCTCCAGCCCACCCTCAGATCCTTTCTCTGGGATGGGCCAGGGATGCTATTTGGTCGCTAGTGGTTTTTATTGGTGAGTAAGCAACATTCCAGATGAGAAGGTCATTGTTTGTCGTAGATCAAGAGCAGATATGGATGAGTCCACTCTCCTTTCAAGAGTTCTCACCCTGGTGGTGTCTCAGAGTTACTGTGGATATTTAAGTATACAAATTGAGATTCTGGATCTGCACCCTCAGAGATTCTCATTTAGCAAGTCTGAAGTGGAGCCCCATTTCTTCACTTTAAAAGACAATACAGGGGATTCAGGTGAGCATCCTCAGTGGAGAATATTGGAATGTAGTAGTAAGATTTGCAAACTCTTAAAGCCCACTAATGCCAGGCAGGTAACATCCGATGGGCGATGTGTGATAGAAGAGTGCTGGTGACTCTGATGAACAGAAGCATCCTAACTTTTCTATAGGGCAGGCAGCACTTACCTTTAGCTAGCTATTGCCACATAATGCCAGCCCAGTGTTGCTAGATATTCCATTTAGAGTTTTGGAAGAAGAATTAAAAATCCAGATTTGGTAGTGAAATGTCCTATTTTAAAATATTGGCAACCCAATTCAAAATTTAAACAAAAAATGTGAATTGTAGGCCAAAACATATCTGCGGGCCAAATCTAGCCCTGAATCTGCCTGTTGAAATCTCTTGACAACACTTTAGCCAGACAATCGCTCAATTTAAGTCAAAACGATGCAGTCAACAGCCCTCTTGACTGGCAGCATCACACTGTCTCTGTGACGTGAGGCTCTTTGGGGTTCTGGCTCACACCCAGCTTGGCATGGGCTAAGTGCGCTGAGTGGGGAGGAGGGGGGAGTCAGGAGACCTGTTTCCTAATCCCTGGTAACAACTTGATAGGTGACACTGGGAAAGAAATTCTCCCCCTGGTCATAGGATTTCTTTCCATAAGGTAAGAGGGATGATCTCTATTGTTCTTTCCAAAGTTCTAGGTCATTCTTCTCATCAAGATTTATGTACTTACTATCTTCCAGCTTCTTGGAAAAAATCCTTTTCAGATTAAGTTGAAAATTCACCTTTAATTGGCTTGAGTGACAACTAGTTATTTCTCTCCCATATTCTCCCATGTCTCCAGTGATTTGTGTTTGCAGGGAAGTTTCTTTTTGCTGTAGGTTTTGGAGCTATTTTCTAGGGGAAAGAAAGCATTTTGGAATAGAAAGTCTGAGTAGGGTTGAGCATATGGGTTTCTTGCTTGCCGAATACTTGGTTTTGAGTCACATAAAAAAAATAAAGGAATAGAGTTGATATGTGGAACATTCTGAAGTAAAAAGCCACCTTCTTGAACTTGATAGTTCAAATAAAAAACTCATAATTGAATCTTTTCCCCTCATAGCTTTATTGAGATATAATTCACATACAATAAAATTGACCCACTTGGCCATGTGTGGTGGCTCACACCTGTAATTCCAGCACTTTAGGTGGTAGAGGCAGGAGGATTGCTTGAGGCCAGGAGTTCAAGACCAGCCTGAGCAACATAGTGAGACCTGTCTCTACAAAAAAATAAAAAACAAAACAAATTAGCTGGGCATTGTGGCATCAGTCATGCCTGTACTCCCAGATATTGAGGCAGACCCCCCTCCCTTGTTTTTTGAGACAGAGTCTCACTGTTTTGCCTGGCTCACAGCAACCTCAAACTCCTGGGCTAAAGCAATCCTCCTGCCTCAGCCTCCGGAGTAGCTGGGACTATAGGTGCGAACCACCACACCTGGCCACTTTTTTCTATTTTTAGTAGAGACAGGGACTCGCTCTTGCTCAGACTGGTCTCAAATTCCTGACCTCAAGCTATCCTCCTACCTTAGCCTCCCAGAGTGCTAGCTTTACAGGTGTGAGCCACCGTGCCCGGCTGAGGCAGATCCCTTAAGCCTTGGAGGTTGAGGCTGCAGTGAGCTATGATCACACCACTATACTCAAGCCTGGGCAACAGAGTGAGATCCTGTCTCTGGAAAAAAAAAATTCACCCACTTAAAGTGTACAATTCAATGCTTTTTTACTATATTTATAGAGCTGTGCAATCAACTCTACTACCTAATTTCAGAACATTTCAACTCCCCCAAAAGAAACCTTGTATCTTCTATCAGTTGCCACAGTCCTAGCAACCACGAGTCTACTTTCTGTCTCTATAGATTTGCCTATTCTGGATCTTTCATATAAATGGGATCACATAATACATGGTCTTTTGTTTCTGTCTTGTTTCACTTAGCATAATGTATTCAAGATTCACCCACGTTGCAGCACATATCAGAACTTCCTTCCTTTTTATTGCCAAATAATATTACATTGTGTGGATATACCACATTTTATTTGCTCATTCATAAGTTGATGGACAAGTGGGTTGTTTCCATTTTTGGGCTATCATAAATAATGTTGCTATGAACATTCACAAACAAGTTTTCATGTGGAAATATGTTTTCATTTCTCCCAGGTATGTATAACTAGGGGTGGAATTTTCTGGGTTGTATGGTAACTCTACACTTAACCTTTTGAGGAACTGCCACACTGTTTTCCAAAACAGTAACACTATTTTACATTTCTACCAACAGTGTATGAAGGTTCCAATTTGCCACGTCCTCGTCAACACTTGCTATTACCTGTCTTTTTGATTATAGTCATCCTAGTGGGTGTGAAGCAGTATCTTTGTGCACTTTTGATTCTGCAATTGAATCTGTTCCTAATTGGTCTTAGTAATCTTAGGTGAATTAGGGTCAACCCTTGGAGCTGGGGGATAGGAGTCATTCACTCCCAAATGACAGAGAGGAAATTTGGGAAGGGAAAGAAGAAAGGGATGTCTTTGGGGGAAATCAACATATGGTTCCTACAGATGGGTTTGCCTGCTTGTTTTTTCTGAACACTGTCTTGTACACAAGGATCATAGCGGTACAGAGGAGGAAGACAAAAAACTATCTCAGTCAGGACCCAGGTAGAGAAGAAGCTCAACATATAGGTTCTCCAAAAGGGGGTTTCTCCCTGTAAACTTTAGTCAATGGGCACATATATGCTCACTAGCATGTATTTATTTCTGTCTCCTCTTTTCCTTTTATTGGCCAAACTATCATCAGGCTTAGAACCCCCTAAGTGCTCCTCCACCAGAGTCACAGAATACTAAGGAATCCATTACAATTGTTTTAGGACTAATACCTGAATTCCCCCACCCTAAATGATTGTGGCTGGTACAACTATATTATTTTTCTCAGGGAATACCTTTGTTTCATTTGGATTTTCTTGAGGTTTGATAGTATTTCCATGTCTTCTTGAAAGGAGAAAGATTTTTGGATTGTACTGTAGAAGGAACAGGCATAAAGAAGACTCTTTATGGCCATCTTCTTGCTCCTGAATGATTATGGGAAATTTCAGGGCTAGGCACACACTGAGAGGCATCCATTGGAAGCAGACATCTGGCCCTTTATCAGCACTTCTTTGACATGGGTTCCTCTTCTTTCTTTTTTTCTCCTTTGTCTTTTTACATTGGTAATAATATTTGTAACTGAGGCTTTTCTGGACACTACTGCTATGTAACAAATATCACCTCCCTCCAACCTCTCCAAAAAAGCTGCTTAAAACAAGCATTTTGTACCACACTAAAATAAGCTAAAGAGATTTGACAACTAAATGTAATGGTTGAACCTAGACTGGATCCTGTACTGGGGTGAGGCAGGGGAGAATGTTCTAAAGGTCATGATTGAATTAACTGACAAAACTGGAATATAACTGGTAGATTAGACAAAGGCATTAATATCCATGTTAAATTTACTGAAGGAGAGAGAGAGAAACTGAGAGAAAAATAGAGAGAGAGAGGAGAGAATGATAAAGCAAGTAGCGAAAAATTTTCACAATAAGTGATTTTGGGTAAAGGGCGCATGGATGTTCTTTGTACTTTATATATTAAAATTATTCCCAAATAAAAAGCTTTTACACAGCACAAACAGCTTACAATTTTACTTTACTCATGATTTTCTGCATCAAGAATTCAGGTAGGGCTGGGCTGGGCAGTTCCTGCTTGGGGTCTCTCAGTAGTTACAGCCAGGTGCCAGCAGGGGATGCAGTCATTAGAAGGCTGGATTAGGCTAGGTTGGGTGTCCCAGGTGTCTCACTCAGATGGCTGGCAGTTGATGCTGGTGATCTGGTGGGAGCTCAGCTGGACTTTTGACTGGCATGTCTACATGTGGCCTCTCTAGCATGGCAGTCTTACGGTAGTCAAACTTCTTACTTTGTTTCTCCCATCCTACATTGAGCTGTGATGCCTGCTACATTTGATCGAACTGCCGTACACACAGATAATCACCTTTTATTCGCAATCACCGGCATATAAACTCCCCCAACTCACTCAAAATCATGTGACACAATTCTTTCCTCCTCAGCTCTGACTTTTGCATATGTCAGTTTCTTTCTCTGGAAAACCTTTCTTCCAATTATTCATCTGTCTATATTATTTGTTCTTCAGGGCCTTTGGGAAGAGTTCCCTGACTCTTGGGTGATACTTCTCTATTGGACACACCTATAGCCCTTATCATAATGTCACAATTCTCCTGTTGTCCAGCCTGTCTCCTTCATTGGACTCTAAGTTCCCTGGGGGCAGGGAGCAATTTGTGCACGAAAGCACATCTAGCATTAAGCACAGTGCCTGTTATGCGCTATAAGTGCAAACGAATCTCTCCCACTCCCACTCCTCATATGCAATACTACACATACAGAATCTGTCACATCCCCTCTTGCCCATGCAAGCTCAATCACTGTGACTTATTCCCCACGCTCAGGCATTGTCCCATTCCTCCGGGACTGTCACCACCCCTTGCCCATCACACACTCAATTACTGTGACACACTTCTGTTCCTCAATCACTGTCACATACTGCTTTTCACACAAGTATGGTCACCATCTGTACTCTTAAAAACAGGATATTTACTCTCCTGCAAATTGAGTTAATATGCCAACAGCTCTATTTTTCACACACGCCGTCACATACTGTATGTTTCTTCCACGCAATCCCTGACATACACAGCTACGGCCACACGCTGTCTTGCTGTCTCCTTCCCACTCGCACTCGACACCCACACTCTCCCACGCACGCGCTCGCGGGCAGGGGTCGGCGGCACGTCTGCGGGGCTCGGAAGCCCGGGTCAGCTCGCGAACCGCAGCCCCGGCGCGCGGCCCCGCCCGCCGCCCCGCCCCCTCATGCATATGCAGCAGCCGCCCGGCAGCCCGGCCCCAGACGGCCATTTGTAGCGGCGCTGGAGGCTGCGTTCGGCAGGCGCTGCGGAGCCGCGTAGAGGAGCGCGCCCCCGGCCGCTGCCGCCCCTGGCCGCCGCGGTCACCCGCTCCTCCCTGCCTCGGGCGGGACCCTGCCAGCCCCCGGCGCCGCGACCGCCTCCGGCAGCCCCGGCGCCCGGACCCCGCCGCGCCCGCCGCAGTCCGCCGACCGCACACGTCCCGGAGCCGGGCCTAGGGCGGGCGGCGGCGGCTCGGCGGGCCGGCTGGGCTCGGCGACGTCCCCATGGCCGCGGCCGGCTGGCGGGACGGCTCCGGCCAGGAGAAGTACCGGCTCGTGGTGGTCGGCGGGGGCGGCGTGGGCAAGTCGGCGCTCACCATCCAGTTCATCCAGGTGCCTGGAGCGGCCTGCCGGGCGGCGGCGGGCGGCGGGCTCGCGCTACCTGTGGGGCGGCCGCCGCGACCCGCCCCGAGCGCCGCGCGGCCGGGCCGGGAAGGCGCGGGCGGGCGCGGGGCCGACTCTGCGCTCCTGCCTGCGCGGCGCCCCGGGAGTCGGGCTTCTCAGGAATGCGGCCGGGAGGGCGGAGCTGGCCGGGTGGGAGCGCCGATCCACCTTATCGCTCTGGCCGAGGCCGGAGCCCTCCGGAGAGGCGGCGCGGCGGAGCCGGGCTTCCTGCCCGCCGGCCGCAGCCCCGCGCGCTCTGCCCGCGGCCGCCGTCGTGCGATCGGGGCGCCTCGCCGCGGCTCCGCGCGCCGCCGGGCCGGGGCTGCCCGCTCCGCGCGGGGTGCCTGTCTTTGTGTGTGTGCGTGCTTTTCTTCTGAGCGGTCTCTGAGGTAGTGTGTCCGGGTGAGAGTGTGTGATAATGCCCCAGGGAAATGGTGGCTTCGAGGAAGTTAAAAATGTTCCCTCGTAGGGGTGAGACCATTTCCTAGGAATTCCTGGTGCCTTCCTGCCTCTGGCCGTGCCAAGGTGAAGTTTGGGATGGGCCAGCCCGGCCGGTGACCGAGCCAGCCGTGCGCTCTGTATTCTAGCCACCCTCTCCCCCACCCCCAGCCCTCTCTGGTTGCTGCTGGCGGAAAGTCAGGGGTTGTGGTAAAGAAGAAAAAGGAGGTGGAATTCTTCATTCTTAGAATTTGCTCTTGATGACACGTTTGAGTGATATTTTTGGGGGATTTTTAAAAAGAAAGCACTGATGTCTCTCTGCTTTTGTCAACCTAGAAGGTGTGGCACATGCTGGAAGAGAACGAAGGTGCCCCGTTAGAACAGGTTAACAAAGATATTTTTACTATATCAAGAGGGCTGTTGGTGAAATATTCTGGCTTCCGTTTCATCCATTTGTCATTAATTGGGATACTTGAATAGCTTTATTTCATATCACTTAAGGTTTATAGTGACTTTAAAATACAGAGTATTGTAGCATATGTAATTGTCAACCTTTCACATTGAGTAAATGAGCAGTAATTGCTGCTGTACTATTACATGGCATTAAAAACTGCTGAAACCTTTGTATCCAGGAAGAGAGTATATTTATGTTATGAGAATTTACAGTGTGCTCGTTAGTGGGTTAAAAAAAATCGTCAGAGGTGAGATTGGTTTAAGTTTACCCAGGCTGTAGCATGGGAGAGGCTTGTCATCTTGTTATTTCCCTAAGGTGGGGAGACTTTAACTGATAGCAAAGTGAAACAATTGATAGCTAACCCTTTCTTTTGGGATTAGTCTGATGGTTAGTGTGAGGGGTTGGGGTGGTTGAATTAGTGGGTGAACAGTCCTGCGTTCCAGTATTCATAGTGTCACCTAAAAGATTTAAACCACAAATATTTAAGGTTTTTTGAGGGAGGGGCCATCTGAGAATGTATTTTGCATCCATAAGTTAATTATTTAACTAAGGTCCTAGAACTTTTTGTTTTTGAGAGATAGTATTAGAAGCCATTATAACAGTAATTGCTATCTTCTGATGATTTTCTAGAATTCATTTGCTAAAGAAATATCTCCCTTACAAGTGGTATAGTACCTAGATGCTTTAGATGATATCAAAGAAGTAAAGGAAGCAGGTATTCTTGAGAAAGATGTATATATAATGAGGTTTGAGTCGTACAGGTTGAGCATATGTGCCTTTTGTTCTGTCATTTATTGGCTGTGAGAACATTGCCAAAGTATTCAGCCCCTCTGAGCCTTAATTGTCTCATCAAGAAAATGGGTCTTATATATTCTTTATAACTTTTAGGTTATGAGAAAGATCGTAGCATCGTATCTAGCAACTAGTATGTGTCCAGTTAATGGTAGCTATTATCAGTATGTGTGTGTACTGCTCTGTAGCATGCTTAAAAGGGAATTCAGATTTGGAAAAGTCAGTGTGAGGATTGACAAAAGCCCTATGAAGGCTTGGTGGGTGGGGAGAATAGAAATGTCATAAGTGAGTATAGGGGAGTCTTTGTAGCTCGCAGAGAGGAGGCAGGCAAGGGGGAAAGTGGAATTGACAGGTGACTTGGGGCCAATGAAAGGGAGGAACATAGGCTCTGAAGTTGAGGAGACTTTCTGGAGAGGCAGGAACTTGGATGAAGTCTGAGTTCTGCTGTTTGCTGAGTATGTAATCTTAGGCAAGTTACTTAAATTCTCTGTCCATCGGTTTCCTCCATCTGTAAGCTGGGAAAATATTAATCTAGTGTACTATATACAGCTGTGAAAATTAAGTGAGTTAATGTAAAAGGTGTAGAACAGTGTCTAGTACAATACATAATAAAGTTGCATACATTATTACATTACTTTTAGTTCATGGAGCTAAAGTAACTGTTTATCATCTACACTTAATAGAGTTGCTATTTATTGTCCCACTCCTGGGAAGTTAAAATTCATTCCATTGTGATTGTTGGGCAGTAGTAATTGGTGAGAGAGGAGACAGCAGAGTAATCATTTTAAAAAGCAGAAGTCAGTTCTCTTCGTAGGAGATTAGGATGGCACAAAATGGGTTTATTTATTTTTTGAGGCTCCTGAAATATCACAGTTTTTACACTTTTCAGTATATATTTTTCTGTTATGTAATCTTGAGCAGAAGAAATATAAACAAATTTGGAAATGGAGAATTTAAAAACAATGCCTTTAGTCCTTTCTTTGACCTTAGATTTAGTTGTTACCTTCTCTACATGTGAAGACTTGCAAAGTTAGGTAATTAAGGTCAGAAGTTGAGTACCTTTTCCTCTTTAAAATTATAACAGGTCATAAAAATCAATGATAATGTGAAATATTATGTTGTTAAGAATGCATGATCTCCTTGTTTCTGTTGCTTATAGTTTTTTAAAAAAATATGTAAAGTTCTATTGGTAAATAGAACACCTAAATGATGAGTAAACTCTAATTAGGAAATGATTTTAACTTTGTACAAGTGAATGGGGTGGGGGAGACATTTGGATACCTGGGGGGCTAGGTCTCCCTACTTAGGCGACTCTGGATAGTCTGTTAATCTCTCTTAATCTTTTCATGGCTTCAGTTTCTACATGTATTGGGGTTGGTTGAACAGATCTCTGCACCTTTGAAATGCTTGGATTCTTTCTTATTTCTTTAACTAGCTGTGTGTCTTTGTTCAAATGTCTTAGATTCTCTAAGCCTCCATTTCTCCATCTGAGAACAGAAAAGAATAATAGCATCCTTAAGGGTTTTTGGAGTAAAAAAATAATTCATGCAAATCATTCAATATGATGCCATCTACAGAGTAAGTAAATAATGATTGTTATCTGGTTTTATTTGCTGCTGTTTCTTCTGTATCTCGGTGTTCCTCCAAAACAAAATTTGTAATTTATTCCTTTTTTTCTTGACATATAATCTGTTCTCTTATTTCACCACTCTCTATTACCCATACTCCCCACCTCACTTCTGTGTGGTATTTAGGGGATGAATGTTGGTTACATTTTGAACTGGGAAACTTCTTATCAGTTCAGAGTTGATTTTAAGAAATAATGGAGTAATCATTGGGTTTTTGGGTATGCTTTGCAACTCTGAGAAGACATACATGTTTTACAAATTTAAAGAGAAAATTGCCAGTTTCTATTTTTTTAGCATCTTAACTTTCTATTCAGTGGTTTGTTAGATTTTGAGCTAGGTAGGGGATAGCCGATTTCTCACATCTTGAATTTTAGTCAGTCTTAAAATCTGTTAATTAGCCTGGACCTGATGCTTTTTACCTAGAGTTTGTCTTTTGCTTAATGCTTTTTCCTGGGACAGAGATCTGAGAAGAGATTGCAAGAAATTTGTGTTAATAGTTAATTGATCCACTTGTGAAGGTTGTGAGTTTAAATTCCTGAATGCTGTTTCGTTGGTACATCTTGAAGACTCTTCCTTTAATTAGAAGTTACTTAAACTGTAATGTTTAGACTTATTTTCAGTGTGCAAATTATTGTTTTACATTAATTTACAAATGACTTGTTAGCATTGATTATTGTTTCACATTAACTTACAAATGAATTGTTAGCACTGAAAAATAAGACACCTAAGGTGTCTTATATCCCAAAGGTGGTATGTAGTAGAGATTTACTTGTTTGAGTAACAGTTGAAACGGTCTTGCAGGCAATTCCTAGATAAAATTTTGAGACACTTGGGGAAGATCATTTTCTTATAGAGGATGACTGCCTTTGTCATTGGAGAAACAGGAGGAAATTCTAACCTGGGTTTTCTTGACTTAAAGTCCTTTTTCTTTGTTCTATCATCTCCCCCCCCCCTCTCTCTCTCTGTGTCTGTCTGCTCTCTCTCTCTCTCTCTGTGTCTGTCTGTTTGGGCATGGGGAAGTTGTAGGAGTTTAATGGGGACACTTCTGTTGTATATGTCAAGAATGCTGTTTTCCCTTGGTAGATGGCAGGCTGCTACTTATTGGGATGGGATTTTAGTTCATCTGTGTTGCTGAAAGGTCATGGTCTTTCTGAAGCTTTGAAATGAAAATAGTTTGTTTAATTCAGTTAAGAAAATAAAGTAGTAACTTAAATTGGGGGAAGGATGAGAAAAAGACTTTATTAAAGTAGTATTGCTTTTTAACTTTTTTCAAGGTTTCTTTTTCAAATTAAGATTGGTCTCAAATTGAAGCAGATTTTGTGATACCATGTGAATATTTATTCCTTTTTTGGGGTGCTGGGGAAAAATGATCTTTAGGATAGTCTACTGTGCCTTTCTTTCCGGGAAAAGTGATAATGAGTAAAAAGATTTTCACTCTGCCTGTAGGAAGTGTGGAGTTTTAATAGTCATTGAATCTTCCTGAAAGACTTTGATCTTGAATTACTTTGAGTAGAGCTGCTGAATGTGTTTGGGATTGAAACTTAGTTTAAACTAAGGCCTTTGATTTATTTCTGTTTTGCAAAGGAAAATGTGTCTCATAGATGCAAAGATTGTCCTAAATGGTGTTACTGGGGACATAATTAGACTGAGTTCCTTGAAGTCTTGTAAATTGTTTTA